CCTGTAGGGATGATCTTGTCAATCTTCAGACACACATGATGATATTCCTTCAAAGAATCTCAAAAAAATCTGTCATCCTCTGGTATTTAGGCTGCCAAACTCATATATATTTTCCTAAACCTTTCCATTTCATGTCATCTACCTTTCTTCCTCCTGCAAAGTTTACCCTGAATTAATACATCATTTCTGATTGCTTTCTCCCCTCTTTCACTTTTATGTCCAAGATCTTGCCTGAATGAGTGTTCTCTCCCACTCCAACTGCTCTCAATTTCATAATTATTGCAGCTGTACTGAAATTACTATTTCAGGAGTGATCTGCTGATCAGAAAGATGCTACCACATCTTAAACAAAACAAACCAAAAAAACTGTAATGGGGTAACTAAACTAAATTTTTTTACACAGAAGAATTTTCATATGAGTGAGTGAGGGAAAAATAAAGAGATCATATGCCTTCACCAATGCTTTTGCCTACGCATGTTCAGTATCTGGAAAAAACTCAACCCTCTTCCTTTTCCTTCTAATCCATCCCTCAGTGTTTTCATTTCTTGTGATGCCTTTATCATTTGAACACATTTATGTTACCACTCATTTAAACACCTGCCTGTTACATTTACGGTGTCTGCTCCTTAAATTGTTTCTCATCCTATGTGAAACTGTAAGGTTTTTAGGACAGGCACCAGTAATTTTTTCTCTGACAGCACAGGGGTCTCTTAGCTGTTAAGACTGTACTAGTGATAGATGATCTTGCCTGTGCCTTGACCCAGATACACGCTTTTTCTGCTTATCACATTTTTGTCTGTTTTTAAGAGCTGTTCATTGTATTTAAGTACATAGGAGTCAAGATACAGTGTATAAAATTCAAAAGCAGCATTAAAGACTTTGCCATACTGATGGCTCCTAATGACATATTTTTTCCCCTTTGAAAGGTTTATTCCTTATTTTCCATTGATACCAAATGATATAACTTATACTGAATTCTCTGCTGAATAAATAAATAAATAAATTAAAGCAGCCCAAATCTTCAAGACTTAATTTGTGATAATATGGTCATGAGGTGTCCTGCTTAGCTCCAACAAGCTTTGGAAAAGATTAATATTTAGACATATGCAATAAGTAGGACATAATTTTACATGGGTATAATATTGGCAATTCAATCTACTTTCCAGAAATCTACCTGCACAACAATAACCTTACTGTACATGTATTTTAATTGGGATGATAGAATGAACTCTATCTAAATATATTTTGACAAGTGCTCTAAAGTATTAGTCCTTACAACTGAAGATATGAAACAACTTTTTGAAGAACACATACTTTTTCAGAAAGGAGGAGTGTGGTATCTACATGTCCTCTGAACAGAGAGACTTAGCTTTCTCAGGATTTTTCCTGAGAGAAGCTGTGAGAGAAGCAGAGTAAAGAATGATCAAAACAATTTTTATCTTATTTGCTGCTCCTGTGTTTGAGCACGTTTGTGCTCCCGTGTTTGTAGAATGTGTTATGGAGATTGTTTACCCAAGGTAATTGCTTGATTGGATTCTGGTGAAGGTGTCTTGGATTGATTGACCAATTAGGTCACAGCTGTGTTGGGACTCTTGGCAGAGAGAGTCACAGGTTTTCTAGTTAGTTAGTGATAGTTCTTCTTAGTGTAATATAGTGTAATATAATTTTAGTATAATATATTGTGATAAAGTAATTAATTAGCCTTCTGATATCATGGAGTTCTGCGCATCATCATTCTCGCAGATTGGACATTGCATTTACTACAGAGGAGCAATTTGCAAAGCTATCAAAGATGTTTAACAATTTCCTCTCAGAATACGTATGCATGTGTGTTAATATATGGCAAAAATATGCATTTTTATTATCATAACTGAATTGGAGACTCAAGAAATTGTGAAATCTGGTTTGTATAATGCCATAAAGTAGGCTGCTTCTTGTAATGCTTCTGTTTTCTGTTTTTCTGTCCTGACTACCCATGTAACATAAAAATTGGTAATTACAGATGAAAGAAGTGTGTTAAATAGTAGATAGGATAAAAAAGTTCTCACATCTTGAGAATGGCATTGCCATTATATGGTATCTTCATGACTTTTTGTTGCTCTGAAGACTTCTCAAGTTCAAGCCTTCTAGTAATTCCAAAAGTTAGTTAAAAGGAAAAAAAGATTAGTGACTTTCACAGAATGAACAAAACCCCCTCATATTTTATGCTTTTTCTTTAACACATAATTTAAACACCAGAAATCATGTGTGAGAGGTTTTAAGGAGTTAGATTATATTGTGAGCTGCACAGTGTCATTAAAACACCACATCTAACAAAACAGTTCCAGAATAAACAACATAACAAATTACCGCTTTAGCCCTTGAATCAATTTGTATACTATGTAGTTTGTTTTTGTTTTTTTTACACAGTCCTTTATTGCATAGCAGCACAGATTTCCTGATGACATTTTGTTTACTGTAGCTGATCAGGGCACACAGAACCAGTGATCTGAAGTCCTGACCAATATGCTGTGAGTGACATGCAATTCAGCATTTAACCCCTGCTGTAGATGATATATAAGCAGTGACATGTACTCAACCCTATCCTCAGTGAATTTGGGATCAACTATTAATCTTCAGCAGACAGATTTAAAATACTGTAGAAAAATATTTTGTTCCAAATGATCGCAAGTACATGGACTTTGTAACTGTCTTCTAGTTATGAAAGATTTATTTATGAGTTATATTCATTAGTACAACTATTCCCTAAGAACTGATATTATTATCAGGATGTTTGACTTTTAAGGTGACAATTTCCAAATGTAGAAACTCACACAGAGCAACATATTCTGATATTCAGAATAACTTTGCATTTAAAAGTTCCACCAATTTAATACAGGACATAAGAACAACCAGAAAGGAAATAAAATCCAATTTTCATAGTAGACAGAAAATGTCATCCTTTTGGCTCTCCAATTTTTTTTTTTCTCTCACCTTGTATACATGCTTGACAAAGGATAATTTATACCAAGGATTTTATTCTGTCGCCAGTCACATCAATGCTGACCTGTAAAAACTGCATCTGCATAGAACTGCCTACCTTACTTTGAATGCCACTGGTTGAATAGAGCTTTTGGCAGCAGTTGAATGTGGCTCTCAATAATTTAAGAAATTGTAAGATTTTTTGTTTTTTGTAAATTAACATCAATATGTAACTTTTAGAACCCCATTAGGGTCAGTGTTTCTAACACAGAATGAGTATATGTATTCGTATACATACATGTATGTCTACACACATTCTACGAAATGAACCCAGGAATTTGCAACCACTGTGTGAAGCTGAAGAAACTCCAGCATAGGCCACTGCTTCTGTGTGCAGCTGGATTTCTGATATTTTCTTACTTAGGCTGATATAAGAACTGATTTGGACTACTGACCTTGGATACAGGACAGTTCATATATCTTGTCAGGGATCTAATTCAGAGGTTGATAGAAAAACTCAGATTGGTTTTAAGGCACATTGGAAAATCCTTCAAACTTACACAGCATAAGATAAAAGCTTTTGACTAACACAGTTTAATGCTTTAAAAGATTTTTCTTTTCTTCAGTTATTTTCTTCAACCACTAGAGTATATTTAGCAAACAATATATCACTCTTTCACACAACATCCTCCTTCCTGTTCTGAATATCTCAACAAGTAACATCACAAGAAACTTTTAAAGGTATTTGTATATTTAGAAACACATACTTCACCAAATAACTTTTGGCATTTTTCCTATTCTCCAACACTTCATTTGTTTCATCACACAAAACCCCTCAGAATATTTTCTTGTCTTTTATTGTAGTAACAAAGACAAAAACAATGTAGCAAATATTTCTTAAAAGCCATCATAATTAAGTTATAAATCTGCATAGGAAAAAGAAAATGCTATCTATAATAGTAAGTTATAACTAGGATATATTTATAGAGAGAGATAGACATAGAGCTATCTCTCTATAAAAAATACTGTGAAGATGTATCTTCAAAAAAGTACTGCATGTGTCTGCAAGGTAATTTCCAGTTGCAGTATAGTTGGTTACTGCATATCCATTTACAATGCTGAACTTACTGGATCAGAAGAGGTTCTAAACAAGCTGTTTTCAGCATCAGTAAGTAGATCTCTGATGTTTCACAGCTTTGTTTTTTTTCCTCCCACGGTTATTTTTGTCTTGCTTGGGGAGGAGGACTGGTTATGTCTAAATACACAAACTGACTCCCTTTGTACACAAGAGTAGTCTTAACCTTGTGATACACTAGAATATCTCTCAGTGATCTTACAATCTTCCTTTGAAATTTCCAACAATAACTGCATATTTAAAATGCGATGTCAACCACATCCTGCTGATTTTACAAATATGTAGATTTTATTTGCAAAAGAGTAACTTTTACCCATGCAATAATTTAAACATTATTATTTCAGTATGAAGACTCTTTTAAGCAGAATAACTGGTATCAATAGCACTTACCTGATTGTGTGGAATAGAGGTTATACAGCTATTTTCCATTTCAAAACCATGCAATAGCCATTTAAAAAAAATAATGCAATGTTTGAAATTTATGAAAATTAGGTTTTTTACTGCAAATGCTTTTTAAGAGGCTTCTAGACACAAATAATTCAATTTGTTACATTGTGGTTAAAAGAAATGTGCCATATATAATTATTAATAAAGAGATAGTGCATACCGACCAGGAGGTTTAGATCAGTTGATATGTTAATCAAGTAATGAGTATTGCATTCTATCATAAAAAGAATGTCAAGCCTCTTTTCACTAAGAGAAATCAGCTCCATGACTATCGGACTATCACCAGCCTACTGAAAAGACTTAAAGAAATGAACATCACACAGAAAGATGGATCGAGCATGAATCAATGTGGCAAGCACATAACCAAACAGACATGGAATTAAACAAGAAGAAAAAAAAAAATACAGGCCGAATGAAAACTAAAACAAACGAAACCAACAAAGATTGTCGCTTAACCTGTTTTGTCAGAGCTGGTATTGATGGTATTGGTAGTGATGGAAGTGAAGGTAGTCTTTGCGCTGTCCTTGGTAGTAACAGATTTCTGCTTATTTTTCATGGCTTCCAGTGCTTTGAGCTTCTTGGCATGTTTAGTGCCTTTGTAGTGGGCCGCAGCCTGGCTCTACAAAGGAGAACAAAATGAACCATGCAATCAGGCTCATTTCTAAACTGGCATTCTCTGTATTAGTACAAATACAGACTACCTTTCAATAATGGGTACCACTTACATTATCCAAGTAGTGACCAAACAGAAAATTATAATTAGAATGATGCTTGGAAAACAATGGAAAAAGTACTAGAGCCAAGCAAATTCAATTCATACAGTATATTACTGTATAACAGTAGATTAATTTCAGATCAAAATTAGGTTGTTTTAGTCCACCTTGCTGCCATTAGTTTTTCTATTAAGATTTATGTTGCTTTCACATGAAAAAAAAATAATTCTCAGGCAACAGGGAGGATGGCATTCTCCTCCCAATAGCTTTGTACTTTTCCAGTTTCTATTTCAAATAAAATTTTTATCAAAACTTCCTTCAAAGAACACTTTATTACTAACAATGGTATCAGCAACTTCTCAGCAAGGACTGACAGTAAAAAACAAACCAAAAATACCCCAGCCCAAAACTAAAGCCCAAACAAAGGAAAGCAAAATATAAAACAGACCCTTAAAAGACCATCAGCAAAAACTAACTGAATGTGAGGAAGACATGTAATTATCTGTTTTTTTAAAAATAAATTTAAAAAAATTTTAAAAGAGAGGATTACTTTTGTTCACCTGCTACAAAAACTAGTGTTTGAAATTCAAAGCCAGGAGCATCCTTTCAAAGGAGAAAGCTTCCACAAATCCTGACACAATCCCAAATATATTTTGGCTACTTCACATTGCTAAGCTAAAATAGATTTGTATATGTACTGCTATTAAAATTAATGCATTACACTACAAATAACTTTATTATTTCAAAATTATTACCAAATTTATTAATTTAATGTATGTGCAAGTATATTTTAAGATTAGTATTTAAACTATTAGATTAAACCTTATACAAAAATCACTAAAATTTGGATGAATATTCAGAGTTTTTTTCTTCATTAATTATTTAAAGTATTATAAGAAAGACAATCATTCAGTTGATAAGATGATAATATGAAAACTTGCTTGTATCTTCCCTTTTGAAATTCAAAATTTATGGAAAGTAACTCCTTTATTACTTGAAAGAGAAGTTAAGGCTTCAGGAATGTAGTCAAAATTTAGCTATTGCAGAATTGAAAAAATTAAAAGCAACCATTGTGGGTCAGCTCAAGGACCCACAAAAGTCAGTATTTTCTTTTTAGGAAACATGAAACAATAGAAGAGATTTAGAATATAAAAGAAAGGTAAATGCTTTCTATTGTGGAATCAAAAAAATAAAAACATATATATGGAATTTAGTGGCTACAAACCTAAAGGGTCAAATGGGATAAAAAGACACAGTAATTCCAATCACTAAGCTGCTCATGCAGGTAGAAGAATCCTGTATTATCTGGCATTTATTAATGCTATTTGTTTATTTAATGCTATTTGTTGTCCTGAATTTTGGGGAGAGGAGTTCTAGTGACTAACTATCACTCTTATGATACATAGAGGGAATTATGACTTTCAGCTTTGATTCCTTCCAGATGCCTGAGAGTTGAAAAACGTAAGGTAGTAGAAGTAGGAGCCCTTGTCTAAAACCAATTCACAATATATGTTTAAGTGTATACAAGTGTACATGTACACACACAAACACACCCTCTTGGATATTGAGATGCATCATTCAGTTTGGTTGAAAAGCCAGTTTCTCTATACATAAAATAATGTAAATATTGTATTAGGTACCCTTATTGAAAGAACACTGGACAGTGAAGTTTTTAATTAGAAACAACTTGAACAGAAACAGCACAATCATGCACCTTTTACAATTCTCAACACATAACATTGAGACATACTGTAAGCCAAATACAAACAGTAAGAGGATGTTAATTATAATCAAACCAAAAGACCAGTGTTAAGTTACAATGATGCATTAAAAATGACATAATACTGTACACCCTTGTGTTGCTATCATGTCAACTATTTTTAGAGTTTCTAGTCAAATTTAATCATCAGTCAGCTTCAGATTCTGACTGCACATTTTTCCCCTAACTGTGTCACTAGTCAAACATGTTGTTCACAATGTGGTCCTTAATACAGAACTATGAATGCTGATATTATTTTGATATAAATCTCAGCTTTCTGCACAGAATTGTTGGCAGAGAACCCCAAGTTTAAATATTCTGAATCCACAGCTCTCTCTGAATTCTCTCAGCTATAGTTCCACAAACCTCATCTTAAGTTTTATGTTGGATGCTGAAGGAATATATAATGAGGTCCTATACAGAAATTCGTGACCTTTTCATTGCTCTGAAATATATGAATGAAATTGTTCTAAAGTGGAAACACATTGCTTGAATTTTCAGGTATGATAGCTGCTATGCAGAGTTGTCCATAACTCACTTCCCACAGAGTGTGGCTAGCTTACCCATCCTCTACTTAAATAAGGTCTTCAAGTCTTTTTATTTTAAAGTTTAAATCTCCTTCCTCTGCAGGGACATGAAGCCATCTAAGCTTGTTTCAATATAACTGTAGCTGGCATGTTAATGGGAGTTCTGTGTGAGAGCAAACAGATTGCTTCTAAGCATTTAACCAGCTCCAAATTAGATTATGCTGAACTTTTACAATTGAACTGGAACCCTAATTAAAAAGACAAAACAAAACAAAACAAAACAAAAAAAAAAAAAAAAGGAAGAGTTCTTTCATTATCTTTCCTTGCAGGAGTAAGATGTAGGAAATGCAAAAATATTCATAAATATATTTTTCAGCAAAGCAACATTATAGTACCTCACTGAATAATTTTTTGCAGCTGTAAGAGGACCAAAATCATCCTTGATGCTTAAATGGCTTTTACTTGTAGCATATAAAATTCAATGCTGAAAGACTATTTACTTGTAGGATGAATACAAAAACAAGACAGATCATAAAATATAACTATTCCCAACTTTCATGCCTAATTAAGCAATAATAGGAGACAGCAGAAGAATGAAAAACAAGTTAAGTACTATTTTTTGCTGCTAACCATGATGCTTAACTAAATAAAGAGACTGTACCCATTCAGAAAGGTGAGAAGGGTTTCCTTCTGGAACCCTTTTACAAAAGAATACATTAGAAGAGTACTTTAGGAAAGGGTTTACTTTCTTCCATGTTTGATGCACAGAATTAATCCTAGCACTGTGAAGACAAGTTACTCAGCTAATATCAGTGATGAAGCATGAGAAATATGTGGAATATTGCTGGTGTAAGGTCATAGAGAACTTTAGGAAAATATATCCATTCTTGAGAAAGATGTCCCACATGAAAGTAAAAGTTATTTTATTATTATTTTTATAATAATATATAATCATGTAATATACAAAGAATATTAAATATCCTAATAATATCCTGCAACTAATATAAATATATAATTTTAATAATTTTATTAATACTTTGTATCTAAGTTGAAAACTCAAGAATCCTTAAATAAATTTTGAGGATTCTGATCTTGAAAATTACATGTAGACAAACTTTGGTCTGTGGGAACTTCTTAAATGAAGGGGCAAAATGTCTGCTAGTAAATCACTTTTCAATGTTATTTCTAATGACTCCTTGACTATTTGAGCAGTACAAGTCAATTTAAGCATCTCCTTTTTTTTTTTTTTCCCTCTGGTTCCATATACCAGTGTTAAATAATTAGGGACCTTTCTGAGTCATACATTTTATAACCTTGACAAATTGCTCAAATATAAAATAGGATTTGTCTATAAAATCTGTCTTTATGTCATAACTACACAGATAAACCTACTACAAAAAATAAAAGTACTGTATGCAGATGTGAACAGTTAGAAAACAGATCCATGTAAAAACAGCTGTATTTTCCTCGCTTAAGTGCAGTATTGTTACCAAAATCACCATCAGTACATCATATTACCAAGCAAATTGAAATGTCTGAGAAAGATGAAATGTTTTAAACAATCCAGACAGTATTCTCTTACTATTACAGTCAACATATCTACACAGCAGTTTTCAAAATAAGTTTGCCTACATGACTAATGTACTTCACTGGATTATATACCTTCTCACTCATGTTCTTTAGGCAGTGGTCCAACAAAAACATTGTGCTTAGTTTTTTTGCATTGAGAAAAAAAAAAACAGGTCTTGTTCTATTCTCAGAGAGTTTTTAACTTTGCAGCACTGGATCTTCTTTTTCATATCCCTCCTGATTCACCTCATGTTACCATTCTTCTTACAGATTGCCTTCCTGACTTAATCACTCCCTCTAGGCAACACCTTCATAATGAAAGCAGTTCAAATAAAAGAAACCTTTTGCAAAAGGTGTAGTGAATATGTTCCATTGATTCCACCTCACAAAATTAAATCCAACTATTTTGTGTTATGTCTTTCGCATTTCACAATGCATTTTGAAAGATGTCTGTTGTGGAGAAGGCTCCGTGCTTTTATCTGGCTAACTAATAGCAAGGCTGCAGTCTGTATGCACCCTAAGAAAGCACAAAACTAAGAGGGCTGAGAGTGCTGGAAAGTCTATTCTGTCTGCCTGGGACTTCAGAAGTTCATGACCTCATTACCAGCTACTGGATGCTATCCTCACCTCTGTTAGTAGTCACAAAACAATAGTAGCAATTTTGGCTAATATGTCTGCAACTGATGTCTGGATTCTCCAAAACAAAAAGTTCTAAAACAAAAAAAACAATTAGGTTCCCAGTTCAAACGAATACTGTCAGTGAGCTAGGCACACATGGAAAGCAATAATACATAACTGCATAAGCCAAGAAGGCTTCTGTTCTTGATGGAGTCAGGGAAATTGCTTATGAGAGGTCTATCACACATTACCATAATCTCTGACTACAAATATTTTCCTATAGATGGGCTGTCAATAAGTATTTGGAAAATAATTTTGTTGATGTCCTAAGCACACAAGAAAGTGATAAAATTAAAATATCTTTTTTTATTTTTGGAACAAGCATGTCATTTTTTCTAGTGACTCCAAAGCCTGGACAACCAGTGATGACAGC